AATTTCGTGACAAAGGAGATCATGGCAAAAGAGATAAAAAAATGACATACTAAGTGCCTTCACAAAAGGAGAGGAGAAGTACTTGACATTTTGACTCAAAATGTTCATACAGAAAACCACAAGACTTAAAGTATTCATCGAGCGAACCTGAAAACAATTAAAATAAATCGAAACAAAGCCGCAGAAGACCATCAAGAAAGCAGTGAAGGAGATGAATGTTGTAGGGAGAACGATTGAAATCGCCCGTGATCATGGCCTCACTACTGCGGACCTCTTGAAATATGATGTTGCACCTTCACCTCTCCTGTTCAATGAGGACGGGACGATGGTCAGCCCAGGGAAGAGCCTGTTAAATAAGGAGTTGGAGTTGCGCTAATCTCAAACCTGAGGACTATGACTATAGACATCGGAAGAACACTTCATATGTCATAGACATAATGGCCACAGTTCGTAAGGTTCGTGTGACTAGCCTCTCCAGCTTCAAGGATCTCTTCTTAGGATTTGTATCCATTTAGTATGTATACCATCAATTCGGGCGATGTGACTATGTGTTCGACATGTACTCAGATGAATCCTCAGTGAAGGATAGTGCGAGAAAGAGGCGCACTGAAACTGTACCAATAGAGTACAGTTCAATTGAACCAGAGACACCTCTGCCAAAGGAGATGGGGAGATTCTGGCCGTAAAACATGAATAAGCTTCTTCTCGAAAAGCTAATCTACTGCCATCTTCGTTCAAATACTTCAGAAACATTACAATATCCCACTGTACTCGGAGAAGTGACCAAAGAAGACGAGGATTGGCAGTGCATCATGGTCCATCAAGGCCTGGAAAAAGCTTTGCCACACCTTAAATCGTCATTTAAAGAAGCTGACCTCTGAATACTCATCCACGTCTTGGACTCTCTCAATGCAGAACACAAAGTGTGTGTTGTAATCTCCAACGATACAGCTGTTATTGTTGCTCTGCTTTACTACGTGCCTGTCTTTCACCAACACAACCTTGAGTCGCTGTGGGTGCGAGCTGGAATGGGAGATACCCCTCTGGGGGGTATATACCCCTTCATACCCTGTTCCAGCGCCTGAGTAATCGGCTCTGTGCAGTACTGCCGGCTATACACAGTCTTACAGGGTGTGTCATAACCAGCAAAGTTGGTACAAAGAAGACAGCTCTAAAGGCAGAGCCTGAAAAGTTGCTGAAACACTTCGGGAAATCACCAACCCTCTCTCCGGCCATGACCCGCAACGCCGAGCATTACTTAGTGAAGATACTGAAAAGAGGTAGCAATGCTAAGTGTTTCTCTGAATATCGAGCAGAGGTTTTCCACTTTAGCAAAGAGGGTTCTCTCCACAGCCTACCACCGACTAGTCAGGGACTCCTGCCTTATATCAAGCGTGCATTCTACAATGCCTACACCATCAATCATGCCTTGGAGTGCCACCTCGACCCTGAAAACGTTGAAACACTGAATCCAGAGGATTATGGTTATGTGAACGACCAAAAACAGCTGGTACTCGCAACATCGTGGAAAGCCCTCGAGCCTCATTGGTCAGTCTCCTGTTCATGTGCTAAGTGTTCAAGGTCAACTTGCCCCTGTAGAAAGGCTGGGGTGAAATGTGGTAAATTTTGTAAGTGCAGGAAAACATTACCACATGATTGTAAAAACCCAATTGTTTGATAGGATTAGGTTGGGTTCTGCTATGTTGTCTAGCATGCTCGGTTCAGTTGTTCTTGTATCAAGTTCGGTTAGGGTAGATACATTGTATATATTTATAACTGAGTATGGTAACAAGGAATATTTTAGACTAGTTTATACCTAGGCATTATTTTTCACTAAAGTGTCTACCTGTACAGTTCTATGATGCATGTATATCCTTCAATCATCTTTCTATGGGACAATTCGTGTTTTAATTATCGCTTTTGGCAGACATCTTATACTTCTTCTAATTAGGTGAACTCCAAAATGTATAATAATGGTGTCAATCAATTATTTGGTGTCAAAAAACCTATATGTTGCCACAAAATCAACTTCCTATGTCACTTACTTACGGAGTTATCATCATTTGACGAAATTCACAAAAGGCGCTATTTGGGGGTAGGGTTGACCCTGAGTTACAATAGCCCACCTGTGCATCGTATAGAGCGGGAAAGCATCATTTTGAAGGTTGCGTCACCTAGAGCACTTAATAAGGAAACTTTTTGCCAATTTTGGTAGCCGTAGCTACAATATTGGGTGAGTGAGAAGCAATCATATTTAGAGCTACTTTCAAAGTGAACGCGATTTTTGGATATTTTTTGGCTAAAATTGAGCAAAATGTAGCCATTTCGTACTATGAAACAAAGTTTATGGCAACAAATCATGCTAGAAAGTTATTAGTAATACTCATTCAATGTAATTCAGTGCAATTTGAAAGTTTATGGTTGCTTAATAAATATTTATGCTATAAAACTTCAATATTGTCATTTTTTCACTTTGGCGCCTAACCAAAAATCGCATAATTAGCTGTACAGAAAAAACGTACTTGACTCAGAAGTGTTACGCAAACTTTTTTTGAGAGTCTTACTATACGGAATGAGAAAATATAAGGTTTTGCTCTAAAAGAGTCATGTACACGAACACCCCCCAGAGCCTAGACTATAGGCGATTAAACCGGGCGACTAAATCGCCGGTGAAATCGCCTAGTGTCCACTGAATCGCCGCCGATTTAATCGCCCGATAAAATCGCCTAGTGTGTCCGGGGCTGGCAATAAAATCGCCCGATTGTACAATTCATCAGCCAATCAGAGTTGTTCAATGATACTGACGTAATAGCGATGTTTCATGTTTAGTATGTCATGTCATGTAATAGCGATGCACGCACGCACGCACGTGTACGTGCACACGCACGCACACACTCATGCACGCACGTGTACGTGCACACGCACGCAGGCACGCACGCACGCACGCATGCACGCAGGTGAACGTGCACACGCACGCACGCATGCACGCAGGTGAACGTGCACACGCACGCACGCACGTATATGTGCATACGCACGCTCGCACGCACGTGTACGTGCACACGCACGCACGCACGTTTATGTGCATACGCACGCTCGCACGCACGTGTACGTGCACACGCACGCACGCACGCACGCACGTGTACGTGAACATGCACGC